ACACAACCTTGCCTCAAGCCGGAAGTAGAAGTTTGGTCGGAAATCAAACCCACCATTGGCGATATTGCCAATTGCATTGTGTCACATGAATATTGAGAGTCAAACTTCCTAAATGAAATGTCCTGAATCGGTTCTTCCATCGAAATAACTCTGTAAGTTTCTGACAATGTGTGTTCAGGTGTTGGTTTTGTTAATTTAGGTACTGAATGTACTTCTGAAACTTTAGTAAGATCAGGAGCTGTTTCAATATTAAACGGTAGGGTAACGTCATTAGAGTGTGTTTCTGACTCGTGTACGTCTAACTGCTGTACGCCGAGAGAGTCGTCTTGCTCTCTGGTGACACAATCTACAGTCTTCCCTACTGTTGACCGATTAACAATACCGTGTTGAACTTGCTCCATCACGTTACCGGCGTTGTCCTTCGCAACTGTTTCTTGATGGTTATTATCTAATTTTGCCACAATGAATCTGTATTTCTTCTGTAGTGACAACTTAAAAACAGACAAAATGTNGTTATTATCTAATTTTGCCACAATAAATCTGTATTTCTTCTGTAGTGACAACTTAAAAACAGACAAAATGTTATTACTTCGGCATTTTGAAAGTTCCTCAAGAAAAACAACTAACCTTTCCTTTCGCGTTTTTTCCGATCTGATTCTGTCACATTCATCTCTTCCTAACACAAATTTCTGGTAGTGCCAGTCCAAAACGTCACACGGTTCAACATTCCCTAACAATAAACAACAGTTTCTCTTCAGTGCTGTGGACAGTTTTGGGTCGGAAAATACAGTTGGAAAATATGGTTCACAGTTAGAGCACACGCTGACTTGGTCTGCTTGTAGTACATCCTTACTTACGCTGTGTGTAACGTTTAGAGAATGGTTTGCACCATCGCTTAATGTATTAAAATGTAACAGTTTTTCTAAATGAGGATAACTGTTCTGCTTCAATGCTCGCTGGAATGAACCATATGCAGTAGGACCCCGTGTCGGAAGCATGGCTAACATAATCCGGCACCGTTCTTTCCGGGATTTCCCAGAACTTACACGTTCATAATCATTTTCGGTGAACACTCCGTCATCTATCAAATCGTCAAGGACATCCTTAGGGTCAAGGTCATCCACAAATTTGACTTGGTTTCGTCGAAGGGTGTGTTCTTGTATGGTATCCATATAGCTATGTGTTCATCCTGCGACAGAAAGGTAAAGAGAGATTCGTTTAAACAATTGGTGCCAAAGCAAATATATAGGCCTACTTTCTTTATAAAATTTAAAGCTAGGTTCCTGCTGATTTTCGATATTTAGAAACATACTGATATACATTTCTTGTAAAATATGCGGTCATATAGAAATCCAATTGTATGGTATTTTATATAACTATCCCGTTGTGCTTTGATACGGTTCGAAATTCTTTTCAGACAAGATGTAAACTAAGAAGTGCCATCTGATATAGTGCTGTGGGGGAATTAATCAAAACTGATTGAGAACAAGGATTTAACCTATTGCCTGCTTCTATAGTAAAGTCAATTTATTAACCGCAATCACAGCTGTACCTAATCCTTTAACCAGAGCCATGATAGTGTGGGGCAACAAAATACAGCTACATGTTCGTGTATAAAAGGAACCCGTACTTTGTTTTTTGTTGTTAGTTCATTTCTATTGTCTTACAACCTTCCTTTGTAGTTAATTAACGTTGTATTCGTGAATTTAATATAACATCTTTGATACTGTAAAGTCATTAACGCTTTATATGTTTTAAATAACGGAATATTACCAAACAACAGCTAAAAGCAATTTCTATATGTTCTAATTAACAGAACTTTACCAAACATCAGCTGAAATAAAGTTCTGTGTTTTAAATAAGGGATATTACCAAACATCAGCTGAAATAAAGTTCTGTGTTTTAAATAAGGAATATTACCAAACATCAGCTGAAAACAATTTCTATATGTTTTAAATAACAGAACTTTACCAAACATCAACTGAAAGCAATTTCTATATGTTTTAAATAACAGAATTTTACCAAACATCAACTAAATCCAATCTTCATGTATTTAAATAACGGAATATTACCAAACATCAGCTAAAAGCAATTTCTATATGTTTTAATAACAAGTTTGTACCAAACATCAGCTGAAAGAAAGTGCTATGTTTTAAATAACGGAATATTACCAAACATAAGCTAAAATCAATTTCTATATGTTTTAATAACATGTTTGTACCAAACATCAGCTGAAAGAAAGTTTTAATAACATGTTTGTACCAATCATCAGCTGAAAGAAAGTGCTATGTTTTAAATAAGGGATTTTTACCAAACATCAGCTAGATCCAATCTTTATGTATATACCTCTTTAATGAATTGCATATTTTACTTTTTTTATTGTATACAGTTGCTGATTCCATGAAGTTATTGAGTATATGAAAATGTCAAGGTCATTGAAGTTATCATTACGCGATACTCAAGGGAGATGAACGATACCCTATTGTAATAAGCTATGTAAGTCGTCTCGATATCCAAATCATTAAATTTTATGTTCCATATTACTGAGGAAGAGGGCGAGGCGAACTTTGCGTTTAAAGTTTAATTACGTTTAAATAACTATATATATGGTTAAACTTTGTCTGGTAGGAAGGTTTCAAATTTGTTTGGTAAAGCATTGAATAATTTTCCTTTTCTTATAATAAATTTGAACAAGACAAGAAATAACGGTAACATTAAGCCCTGTTATCTGCGGGACAAATTATGTGTAAAACTGGGACTTTGCAAGTCTACATGTCCAACCTGACCGGTGTATGAACAATGTGTGTGACATATTGATGCTGTTATCCTGCCTAATTCATCCTTCCACGTCGTTGTTAGCGTAGCAGAAGTAATACACACCATCTATATCAAACATGACATTATTCATTATATATCATCCACTAGAAAGAAATATAGGCAACAAACGTTATTATTTACATATGCTTCATACGTAGGTAAACTGAGTATGGTGATCAGTGTCTACTCGTAACTGTTACAGAGAAATTAACAAGTGTATTGTCATATAATATATATATAAAAAATAACATTATTATTTCAAATATTAAATACTACTTACTGTTACAATGTTATACTGTGTGATCCGCCGTGAAATACATATGATGTACAAACATACGTTGGACCAGCTTTATTGGAACTCCTTGTGTTTTCCCGGAAGTTTGGGGATTTCTGTTTAAATGTATAGTTCACGTGTCAGTGAACAGTACAGTAGAGAGCATACATGGTGATAGACATAGGGTCATGTGTATATGTGGCTGTATATCAATATATGACACGCCGATGATATCACAAAATGGGTTATCCCTGAAAATTTAAGGTGCGTTGTTAGTAATGCCTTCATAGACTTGCTTTAGTCATTTAGTACGTCATTACAATGTAGGTATAATAGTAACATACTGGTAAGTACTGTGTGCTTACGTCCATTGTGTACCCATTGTGTACTTACCAGACACGTGATAATTAGGATACAATCTGCACTTTTAAAATTATCCTGATTAATACAGTTTGCCATAATTGAATTACATTGCATCATACAGCTGTTTTATACAAAAAGACGTTTCGTTTTTAATTTCAATTCGATGTTTGTTCCATTCTTGACAGCCAGATACATAAAACTGTTTTGAATGAAATAATTGTTCCTTTGCTTTAGGACTATTCTATTTTCTGGATGATAATTGACATTTTGACTTTGAAATTTTCATTATAAAAAAAATAAACAGTTGATAATCTGGCAGCACGTTTTGTGAATCTGTGTAGGAAACTTGACTATTACAGTAACCGATAGACGCTTGCTAAAAATATCAAAATACGTGTGCTAACAACTACACTATTTCTTGTAATACAATCTGGTCTGAATCTTCGATGTGTGTCGAACATTGATTTTTACAGACTGTCAAAGTTGCTTCTTTGAACAAAATGCACTACACATGGTGTTTCCCTGACGTCAAGTGCAGTTTGATACACAGCGTACATTACATTTGGACATTTGCTTGATTTAATAGGTAAGCTCGAGCCTCATTCAACTTGAAACAGTCAGTTGACATACTAATTACCGTATTCAAAACCACTGGGTTTTACCTATTTCGTAATAGTGATATAATGTATGTCATAGCGTCGAAATACAATGACAATTACGACAAATCGATCAGGAAAGAACATGGTTTGTCCTGTATAAGTGATAGCATTACATAAGTCGTTGTGATTTCGAGTTGCAGGCGTAGAAAGATAGTAGTATACACTGGTATCTCAAGAGGATTGCTCCTGTAGTTCCCATACATATGGGCAGTATCTATCTACTTTATTCACCTTCGTACTTCGACTAACTATATTTCAAAGAAGATGTTCCGTTAATTCTTGTCTCTAGAGGTTATTTTACGTCACAAGCTGGTTGACTCTGCTGGTGGTAATTTTACGTCACAAGCTGGTTGACTCTGCTGGTGGTAATGTTACGTCACAAGCTGGTTGACTCTGCTGGTGGTAATGTTACGTCACAAGCTGGTTGACTCTGCTGGTGGTAATGTTACGTCACAAGCTGGTTGACTCTGCTGGTGGTAATGTTACGTCACAAGCTGGTTGACTCTGCTGGTGGTAATGTTACGTCACAAGCTGGTTGACTCTGCTGGTGGTAATGTTACGTCACAAGCTGGTTGACTCTGCTGGTGGTAATGTTACGTTACAAGCTCGTTGACTCTGCTGGTGGTAATTTTACGTCACAATCTGGTTGACTCTGCTGGTGGTTATGTTACGTCACAAGCTCGTTAACTCTGCTGGTGGACTGTAAGAAATACCTGAAATACTAGTTTAAAGATAATATTTATTGTAGCCAAAATGTATAAGTAACGTTATAACGAGTTTTATAGATTTATCTACACTTTGCTGTATTGTCTACGCCTGTTACGAAACATTTCAGCCATGGATTTTTATTCCATTAACCCTCAGTCCTAAGTGGATGAAATGACGATATGGTGCAGTAAGTGTCAGCTCTGTTTGGATTCTGCTTCGACGTGTAGAATCGTTAAATAGATGTTTTCCTACTTCATATTTCTGATGATAATATTTCACGTCACAGGGTTTTCGACACTGGCGGTAAACATCAGTTAGTATATATAGAAGTTTTAATAAAAAATAAATAAAAAAATCTTATAAACGTGAAATATGGTGCTATAATCAAGCGGATTTTAATGAACTAAACAGGCATATTGATTTTTTTTCTTGGAATGAAATGTTTATAGAATCGGAAAGGATTGATGAAGCATGTAACAAGTTTACTATTACATTTAAATCTATGGTTAGTGCATGTATCCCCAAAAAAGTTATGAGAATTAGACCTAATGATAAGCCGTGGATGACGACTGAATTGAGAAAATGTATTCGACTACGAGATAGGTTACACAAAAATGTAGAAGAAGTATGCGTGATATTGATATAAGTTGTTTTAAAAGAGCTAGAAACCGAGTAAATAATAGGAAAACGCATGCACGAGAATCATTTTATACTAATATAGACGGTCTTATTGATAATTACGTAGTATCAGATCCTAAGTCATACTGGAAACTGTTGAGGCGGCTAATTAAATCAGGCGGTAAATCTAATGAAATTCCACCATTAGCCGATCCACAAAATGGTAGTATCGTATATGATGATTTTAAAAAGACTGAGACTTTAAATAATTATTTTTCTTCTATCTCAGACTTGGATGACAGTGATGCTAGAGTTCCTTCCCTTTATCCTAGAACTAATTCTTCCTTGGCTTCCATAAAATTAAACCATTCGGAAATAAAAGACGTTTTGGAAGTATTAAAATTAGGTAAAGCTACTGGTACCGATGGTATTAGTCACCATATGTTACGACACACTGCAAAATCTTTATGTAAACCTCTTCAAATGTATATCCATGTACCCGACTTTGTGGAAACAAGCTAAAGTATTGCCCTTGTACAAAATTACAGACCTATATTTTTACTATCAGCTGTAGGAAAAGTTTTTGAACGAGTAATTGTCAAACATATTCACAACTACTTTTTTGAAAACTCACTATTTTATTCAAGACAATCTGGATTTATGTTTAATCATTCCACTGTGCATCAGCTAATCGAAATCTATCATAATATATGTTTAAATCTTGAGGAAAAGAAACATACTTGTATTATCTTTTGTGACATATCGATGGCTTTTGATAGAGTTTGGCATACGGGTCTGATTGAAAAGCTTAAATCTTATGGTATTACAGGAAATTTCTTGAAGTGGTTAATTAATTATCTACATGCCCGAAATTATTGGTGAATCATTTTCGAATAGTAAGTTATTAAATGCTGGGGTACCTCAAGGCTCGGTGTTGGGCCCGATTTTATTTCTAATCTATATCAATGATATTTCCGAAAATTCAATTAGCGTATCTAGACTTTTTGCTGATGATACTTCTTTAATATTTGGTTCTAACAACTGCAACGAAATTGAACGAGTAATGAATCATGATCTTCAATGTATAAATGCATGGTCCAAGCAATGGTTAGTTACATTTAATTCCAATAAAACAGATGTTCTATTTATCTCAAATATTTAAAAAAAAAAATCAATATCTGTAGCTATTGTTTGGCGACAGCATTTTATTTTTTTCTGAAAACCATAAGCATTTAGGGGTAACTTTTAGTGCAAATGCTAAATGGGGTGATCATGTTGAAAATATTTATAAAAGTGCTTCAAAACGGATAAATGCTTTAAGACAATTAAACTTTCTGGTGAATAGGAAAGTTCTTAGTAAAATATATACATGTTTCATTCTACCTATAATGGAATATGCTTGTGAACTCTGGAGTGGTTTATCTAAATTCCATATTGATTTGTTAGAAAAACTTCAACTGGAAGCTGCTAGAGTATTAACTGGGTTGCCAGTATATGCAATTTCACAATCTTTGTATTTTGAAACGGGGTGGGACACTTTGAATATCAGGAGAGAACGAAGGAGGCTAACTTTATTTTACAAAATGCACAATAAACTAACACCGTCATATCTTTATACATTACTTCCAGGTTAAGTATGTGATAGAACTCCATATCCCCTTTGAAATAACAATAACTATACCATGCATAACTATATTCTTTCCAATACTAGATCATCATATATACCAGCATCTACAAAAAATTGGAATAACTTATCAGAAACCACTAGAAATCAAACCACAGTTAGTAAATTCAAAACTGCTATAACTCCGGAACATCATAAGACACCGTGTTTTTTTAATTACGGACCCCGTCGCCTTAATATCATATTAACTAAACGTAGACACATTTGTAGCCAACTGAATTATGATCTCTTTCGTGTGAACCTTGTAGAATCTCCTTTTTGTGCCTGTGGCCACCCCTGTGAAAATGTATACCATTATGTTTTCCAATGTCCAATGTACAGGAACATCAGACATGAAATGTTAAATAAGTTGCACCTAGAGTTACTATTGTCTGGAAATGTTGAATTATCAAATGTTGACAATGAGCGTATTTTTGAAATTGTTCAGACTTTTATTTATTCAAGTGATCGTTTCTAAACAAAACATCCATGTGAACAGGTATATGTATCTAATCTGTCATAATCTCTTCTCTCCAAACCTCTCATTCTGCTCTGTAGGTCTATAGAATAATTAATAGTGTTACTGGTTCAGCAAATTGTATATATATTTTTTTTTCTTTTCAAACTGAAATAATTCCGCTGCATGACACTTTGATATGTTACCTAGAAGGAACAGGAATGACTCGAGGAAGAATTCTAAGGAATGTGTTTTATATGGACAAACGAATAGCTGATGTGAAAAGAATGTGTAGCTAGTGCGTGCCATGCAGTAGTTTAAGTTTAAATAGTTTCAAAATATTCATACTTTGAATGAACCTTTTGTATCATTCGAAATATACTCTACTCATCTCTATGATCTCTTCTGTCTTTCAAAACTCTCTTTTTTCTCCTTTTTACTTTTCTTCTATGTTCCTTGTTTTCATACAATTATTTTGATTGGCATATGTCGCTATCACTATCAATGTAATATTATAGTTGAGGAGAGGGCTTCTATAAGTTGCTATAACCTGTGCCCAATCCATTTGATTATATCAATAAAATATGTTTAAATCAAACATCAGTTCCAATGTGGCAAGGTTTACATGATTATTTAGTTTAAAATTAGTTAATCTGATGTATCCATAAGTCATGTATTTGTGAAGTTATAAATGCTTTTATAGGTATGTTTTTCCTTTTGTTGTATTTTCACGTTTTCAAGGGTATTTTTTATAACGTATTTTTGTTTTACATACAGCTTAATGTTGATAAAACAATGAAATATGAGAGTACTATACCATATTATTACACCTGAGAATACACGGACTATTTCATCGCATGAACTACTAATATTTTGTTTATAAAGCACGTTTATGTTAAAAGTTTTGAACTTTCCAGCATGAAGAGTCAGTTGTAGTGTGAATAGGTGAAATATGCGCTATAGCATCAACATATTAGCATAAAATAATGCTTCGATCTATTCCAAAATAGAGCATGCACTGTGACGAAATCCAATTAAGTAAATTATATAGAATAAACCACAGCCTAAATAAGGTTTCTTCCACCCGACAAAACGTCTCTTCCTATTAAAGGGAGGGAACTCATACTTTAATTAAAAAGGAAGATAAATCCACCTTCCTTGATCAAATTACGAAGAGAAATTGAAACTTAACGCATGACCCTAACTTAGAGACGCCAAAGAAAAGTAAATGACATCATGAACTCAAAATGTATTCATTTGAATAGCTATATTACAACAGGATGGCAGTAAGAAGCAGCGTACTGTATTTCAAGCGATAACTTCGTCATCACGGTAATCACAGTAATCTTCCATCATTGGAAATCTCGATAGAGATTGTTGCGATGCCTCTTCTTTTTGCTTTAATCGCGTTAACTTTAACACGTGTAAGTATCTAAGCCCTCAGCAACCTTAACTAAAGCTCACTGTTCTTAAATCACGCTTCAATCCTATAATCAAGTCACGGTTGGCGACCAATAAACCTGCGCTTAGAAATGTATTAGTTCATACTACACTTTTATACATAACGGAAGTATACATGTAACAGATTGCATAAAGTTGATAATATACTTATGTTCTCCACGTGTACGAAAATGAATAAAAATTAAATAATTAATCAGACTAGATATATAGCTTTGATTTTAGGTTTTTAGTCTACAACCATTACTTCTAAGGATGTATGGACATAGATTTACTGAAACTATTACTTCGAAGTAGCTACAGTGTATGGACTTAAACCATAGTCTGAAGCTGTACTACTCATAAATATATATGGACTTTGATTATAGTCTGAAGCTGTACTACTTATAAGTATTTGACTTATACTATAGTCTGAAGCTGTACTACTCATAAATATCTATGGACTTACACTATAGTCTGAAGCTGTACTACTTATAAGTATGGACTTAGACTATAGTCGGAAGCTGTACTACTTATAAATATCTATGGACTTAGACTATATTCGGAAGCTGTACTACTTATAAGTATTTGGACTTATACTATAGTCTGAAGCTGTTCTACTTATACGTATCTATGGACTTAGACTATAGTCGGAAGCTGTACTACTTATACGTATCTATGATTTGGTCTATAGTCTGAAGCTGTACTACTTATAAGTATGGACTTACACTATAGTCGGAAGCTGTACTACTTATAAGTATTTGGACTTGGACTATAATCTGAAGATGTACTACTCATAAGTATCTATGGACTTACACTATAGGCCGAAGCTGCACTACATGTACTTATAGTATCTATGGACTTAGCCTATAGTCTGAAGCTGTACTGACTTATAAGTATCTATGGACTTAGCCTATAGTCTGAAGCTGTGCTACTCATAAGTATCTATGATTTAGTCTATAGTCTGAAACTACTATTTCTAAGTATTTATGGACCTAGACCAATGTTAAAC